ATGGAAAAAAATCTAAGGAACCCATCAGGAAAAGAATGGACAGTTTTACTGACAAAAATGAAAGCTTATGTTTTGAGATGCCTGAACCATGGCTGGCTGCTTATGGAAGAGCCTCCAGACATACAGTTCAACGGAAAACCTCTAAATTAGATACATGTAAGTCTCTTGTTAGAGACAAATCAGAGCATTATGCTAACACATCAGCACTCTTCTGGCAGTGCCTCGTGTCTGTAATGGGTTTTGGTTTTCAGAAGCGAGCAGCTGTCTTACCAGAGCGGAAATGTCCTCTTCTTATCCCTGCCCATGCGATTCCTGTTGATCGTTGTTGAACACGGCACCGCATCCAGGTGATGAGAGCTGTTGGGTAAGGTTGGCACCCACTGGTTGTTCCTCTTGGCCTTCTGTTCCCTAATGAAGGGGACTATATGTTAAGATGTACACCATGAACATCACTGCTACTATTTAAGGAATAATATAGCTTTCATCTTTAAATCCTTATGAAATTAAATCCATTTATCCAGCAATCCATTTAAATCCTGTTATGAAATTCTGACATTTTATCCTGGAACCTAAACCAATATTGTTCCACAGAGAACTCATGTTCCATACTCACCCCCAGAAAGCCCACCTTCCAGTTCACACTCATTACATGCAAAACTAGGTATATCTTTATAAATATCAATATACATATAATTTTTCTGTCTATATAAGGTGACTGCTAAGAACTGTGATTACTCAAAAAACAACAAAAAACACCCCAAAACAACAACAAAAAAACGGCCAGTGCAGAAAGTATTCTGCAAAACAGCCATTAGACTTGAAAAGAGTAATTTCAAAAAAAAACAGTACCATCAAATGTTGATGTTTTCCTTCTTGTTTTATGTAGGCAATAACTTTGTCTTCCCAAGCTGGAGATTTTCATTTATCCAACACTGCAAATCTTTTTTTTTAGTACAGAGCAGCAAGCACATACTAAACTCTGCACCATGGGTTCATGCAGTGACATGTCCTGTCAAGGACAGGACAGCGTTTCTTGTCCAACCCAACACCTTCCAAGCAACTCTGGTTCAGTTTCAGTCCTCACTGCCGCTCGTTACCTGAGGTAGGTGGGAGGTTCTGTGCTGATAGACACTGCTTTATACTTCTCATCATTGCCATCCAAGATCTCTTCCACTTCAGAGGCTTTTAACAGTGTCACACTAGTAGCTAAAGTGGTATAGCCGTGATCTACCACCAGGAAAGATGCCAAGAGTTAAACATGGAAAATAGTATCATATAGCAACAGAATATTAATCGGATTTATAGTAATAGGCTCTCCCTGCCATGCAGATGGGACTAAAATAAATTTAGCTGGAGTGAATATATCCCCCTTTTAAAAGTGCTCTGGATTTCAATCATCCTCTTGTAGATGCTGAATTTTAGAGGGAGATTTTAAGAAGACATTTTGAACATGTGGAATAAATGGAAATCACTTTCTACTGCCATTTCTGAATTGCCCGAAGTCCTCACTCTCCCTCACACACCAGGATACTCTGCTACTTGGAGATTAATTGCACTGCAGTAACTAAAAGGCCAGATGTGGTTTGTGGCACTTATCAAATAAAATCTCGTTTTGACATTGACATAACAGAAAAAACAAGTGTGACTTCCTTTGGCGGGAAAGGGGGCTTTTTTTGTGTGTGTGTAATTTACCTAAGTTAGAAAGCAATGCTAGCAAAAAAACAAAAACTACAGAAATAAAAGTCCTTGGATCCTTATAAAGTATTAGATAAACATTAAATCTAATATGGTTTTATCTGAGGGAAATCATATGATTTAGCTCTACACTCCTAGGACCTGAGGTTAAATCTCTTCCATGGCCTTTCAGGATGAAAAGGCCCAAGAAATAAAAGATCCTCAGTTTGCCCAAGGGTTTGAAATAGAGAGGCAACAATAAACAAAACTGAGTGGCTGAACAGACTCATCAGATATTAGTGAAAGCTAAGTCTTCTTCAGCAAAGGAAGCTGAAACTGAGAAGACTTGGGGAAGAGCAAAAATCTTGAGGCAGGTCTGGCTGAACTGCAGAGACTGTGTGTACTTGGAAAGGCCATAGTGTTCTGGGAAAGAAAAGTTAAGTGTATGATCAGGATGCACAATTGGGGCAACCACAAAGAGATCAGATGAAGATTAGCCATTAGTATATATTTTAAAAGCACCAAAGGTTGCTTTCTGTAGCAAAACCAAGAATAACACACAGATAAGACTTACATCTCCTGGGACTGTGAGATCGCTGATTCTCTGTTGGAGAGAAAAGAAAAAAGCAACAAGTCAGCAGGATACTTGCAGGAAGGAGACATTAAGCCCATAATGAATCATTTTTATTATGCTCAGAAGAGTTTACAACAGGTTATTCTGCTAAGAATTTTAACTTTTTGTTATTAGTTGCTGATAAAGAATAACCCTGACACAGCAGAATTCTCACTGCAACAACTATATCAGTAGCACCACCACCAAACTCTGGCAGTCATAAATATTCACTCTCTGCAAGAAGAAAGGTTAAGTAGAGACTCACACTTTCAACAGAACATCTTGGTAACATCCCTGACAGTGTGACAAAAGGGACAAAAACATCCCTGCCTTTGTCAACAGCACAGCATAACACTTTCTTCTGGGATGGCTTTGCTTTGTGATAAACATGGTTGACCCCAGAAAAGCCACAACGTGCATTTGATTTTAGAACATGTTTGATCACATCGGGTTCCCTGCTAGACAGGGCCAGAAGCTGCTAGTGCCATCGCTGCAGAGTCCCCATCACTGAAGCCACCAGAAGGATCTGTGCAGCCCTAAGGACATATGAGCTTCCGAAGCTCCAGACCACATTTTCCAAAGCAATTCTCCAGACTTCAGTGCTGGGGTATTTACTCATGTCCTTACCATGGGAAGATGCCACTATCTTCTTCCTCTCTTCCACTGTGGCTAGTCGCCTCCACAGTGAGGGGTATCTCTTGTACAGGGAACCCCGGAACATACGCAGATAATTCCCCACCTGCAGGCAGAAATGGAGAGATGTGGCCTGGAAAAATGTTCCATCTGGAAAGACCTTCAGGAGAACCTGCAGCAGATTCAGGACTCTGCATTGACATACAGGATATCTAAAGATGATTTTTGTTTGTTTTGCTTTTGCTGAAAGACTCTTACAACACCATATTTTTATAGCAATAGAGAAAGCTCTTACGAGCATTTATTTCACTAGTCTGGTAAGCAAAAACTCCCATCCATTGACAGCAATCCATTTAATAGGAAAACCCCTTCACTTTCATGCATTTTTGAACAATCTCATGTTTCCTCCACTCCAGCTGCTGTTTCAGTGGACAGTGCTCCACAGGATTACATCAAAGCAGACACCCAGCTCTGCACCTATATCGCTTTTCACCTCTGTGCCATCCAGACATTGCTCGGGTAGCCCGGAGACCCGCCTGGGCTTTTACTTGAAATTCCCTGAGCACGCAGAACACGGGCACTGCCAACAATCCTCTCTCAAACTAAAACCCTTGAAGCAGTTCCGCGCTTTGAGGACGCTCGCCCATGCTGCACGCTGCACCAGGACTGCTGCACAGAATTTCCCGACTATAAAAGGGATGAGCGGGAAGGCTGGCGGAGCCGGGACCGGGCTGGGGCAGCGGGGGCGCCCTCATGGGTCCCCTGCACCCACGGGGGACGTCCCTGCGCCCCCCAAGCGCAGCCCCCCGAACCTGCCCCCTCCCACAGGCCCCAACGGGCCCCCTGGGG